CTGCACTCGCACCCACACCCGCTCCCGCACCCAGGCTGGGCCAGGCCTGGCCTGGGAACTGACTGAATCGTACAAAAACGCAATAAAATTCTGAACTGACCAAATATAGTTTTTGGTCCATTTAGGCAATTGCCAACCTACAACCGCCCGCGCGCCCGCCCATCTATCCACCCGCCTGCATTCCCAGGACATCGAGATCACCGCCCACGAAAGCCACCGCTTCAAACCTCTCTCTTTCCCACCCAATTCTTCAAGCTTTGGAGCATGTTGATTGAGTCTGCGTGAAGCGAATGTCGTTGGATGCCTACGCAGTGCTTGGCGAGACTGAACAGTCGCTCGCACTCTGATGACATCGCCGGGATGGAGAGATAATCGAATGCCATTGTAGAAGCCGTGGATACCGTGAAATATTGGCCTTCCACCACGCCAGAGGCTCATCCACCTGCTTGGGCCGCTCAGAGAGGTATTGGTCAACCTCATTGTGATCCTCTATGTCGTCATAATAGTTGGAGCCGAGGAGGAAGCTGTTGCGCCCGGGACGGTCCTGGTGCCCTGGATTGTTGGTATCGAACGCAGCACCTTGATGGAAATACTGGCTTTTGAAATGCTGCTTGAATGCGTCGATCCAAAGCTGTCCATCTGAGCCGGCTTCAGGTTCAACTCCATCCACCTTCTTCTGTGCCCTGGGTGTAAGATCATTGTGAACCAGTATGCGTGCGAATCGCTGAGGAAGGCGGTGTACTCGTCGAGCTTCGTGACGGCTGATGCGATGCCTGCTTCAAGTGGATATATGTCACGGGTGGGCGCAACTGACCACTGCGTAACACCCTCAAAAGAGGGACCGTGGTTCGAACTGTCCAGTCGAACCAGGGGTTGCGCACATGAACCTCACACTGTCACTACCCGTGACAATATACGGTGATGGTATCATCCAGGGCAGGTGGGTTGGCAACAATGCATTCTTGAACGGGTGGAGCCGCTGTGGATCGCGGACTTGGGAGCTGAATCTCGCAGTCCCCCAAGCGCCGTGGAAATTGCGTACATGGCTGGGGTCGGCGAGATGGCATTGGCGGCAGTGGCATCTCGGCGGGGTCCGAGATCAGCGGTGGATCGGTTGCTCGGCTGTTTGGAAGGTAATCCAAGTGGTTAGCCAGACTCTGGCGGAGGTAATACAACGATGGAACGACTTCAGCCAACGTTGAACCATTGCCTTCAAAGGCCTTGGTAACGCGTGCGAATGGCCTCAATATCGCTCGCAACTTCACTAGTGTTTCCCAGTCGTCATCCTCCAACAGGTCCTTTGGCGAGATTCCATCCTTCTCAGCGACTGATTGTGTACAGTAGACATCGACAGACTCCCTCAATTTAATCGCACGTTTGACCATTGCGTACGTTGAATTCCACCGCGTTTCGTTGTCGGGTACCAATTGCAGGCCAGGAGCTGGGTCGTCTGAGGTGGTGAGGAATGCGTTGAACTTGGTGACCTCTGTTGCCGGTACTTGCTTAAACTCCATTGCCCTGATAAAAGCATCACGGCGTTGTGGGCTGCGGCGGATGAAGTAGACGACGTTGTGTAGCCGTTTGATCAAACCAGGATTGTTTTCCCCATCTTGCCACTCGATATTAGCCCTGGCGAGGAGGGCCTTTGCAACAAGATTGACAATGTGCCCAAGGCAACGAAGTCGCCGTTCCTTCTTATTGATAGGGACTTGCAGGCTCGTTGGGCTGGTCGGGAAAACGGCTGAGGATGGCGGCGATACATGTGTCATTCGAGGCAATGTTGTCGCATTGGAAGTAACCAAGATGCTGGTGTATTTCGAAGTCCTCGATGACGGTCAAAATCTCTGTTGCTTGCGCATCGCCAGAGTGGCTCACTGATGATACTCCGTACAGATTACAACGGTCCTGAATGCGCAGGTGGGTGCGTTGATGGATGCCCGGGCGGTGTGGGCTGGCAATTTCTTGGCAAATAAGTCAAATAAGCCAAATAAAGCTTGGCAAATATGGCCCTTTATTTGCCAAATATAGTGCCGTATTTGGTTTGGCTTATTTGCCAAGCATTTGATTTGGTTGCCAAATATTTGATTTGTGAGGAGCCTTG